TCACTTTTTTGTAAAAGCGTCCATTAAACTGAAATATTTTTTCTTGTAGTTCTTATAGTTATTCTTATAGAAAAAGTAACAATAACTAGATTATTTCGGAGCGTGATAAGTGGTAGTAAGAAAATTAGCTGTTTACAAATTAAATCGTCCCGATGTCAAACACCTCCAGCGCAGGAAAGAAAAATGAAAAACTAAAATTGTTTACAGTAATAATTTAGAAAAGGCGGATAACAAATTAATTATCCCATAAACTATCACTATCTTTATATTTAGAAACCACAGTGTACTGTGAGTCGAAGTTAATATCACACAAGCTTGCAATACAGTTAAAGTTTGGACCCGTTTGATAAATTGGTGATCCGACCATCATATTGGTCCTACCCTTAAAATAAAAAAATAAAACATCAGCATTACGTTAATTACGTCGTGCAATTAAAAAAGATATTTTTGGAAAGTCCATGGAATTATTGAGCAATTGGGGTAACAAAAGTTGATCAAATCCCCTTTTGGGATAAGGTAGCTCTACCTTTAAGTGAACATATTTTAAGAATTTACGATAGACACTCTTCAAACTAGAAGCATGATTTTCGTAGATAGGTGACCTTATTATAGATTATTATTCCGATTTACTCCTTAGAAACGTTGTGTGTGCTAGAAATGTTGACAGACCTCGCCAGTTTTTTTACACAGTAGTGTAATTGGATTCTCTTGCTGTTATTCCCGATACGTGCTCAATAAAGGTAAACCATGAGTTAAGCGTTTTGTAATTCCTTGCGGTCATCAAAGCATCAAACGAAGTAAATCTAACGTAATATATAAATCGTTGATGAAAATCGAGAAAAGTAAGGGACCCAAATGAGACATTTGAGGTACTCCTCACGTAGCAACAACATTTTTAGACAACAAAGAGTTGCTCGCCGTCAAGATACGATTCTATTAAAATTTGTAAATCATTCTAAAGGCTTGCAACTTACGCAGTAATATTTGGTGATCAATTTCGTCAAACACTTTTTGGATATCCGTGTATACCGCATCGCCCTTTCTGTTGTTGTCCAAAGGATCTGAGATAGGCTTAGGTAGGTTAGTAGAAGCTTCACGAAGTTATACAAGATTACAACAGGTGTGTAGTTTTTAATAGAAGACGAGCCTGCCTGCCTGCCTTCAGAATCGGCCAGATTTTAGTTTTTTTAAATATCTCTAACCAGAAGACGCTCAATAAATGCACTTAGGCAATTTTTTCCCAAGAAACTGGGGATATTGTCCATTCCGCCAGTAATTTTGAGTTTTAATTTATTTCATGCTTTAATAATATCCTGCCCTGATATGGGACCAATGTGAAGGAAAACATTATTTAAAGGCTTAATCGGAACAGTGCTTTTTATTGTTATGCGGTCGTATGTGAATACCGCAGACGTTTTCTCAAAATGGTAGCTAACAAGAAAAATTCCACATAGATCCAACTTTTCGGAGGACACGTATCGACCGAGGTTGGACGATGAATAACCGTAGCAAATTATCGCATTTCACACAAAACGTTTGTCCCAGTCATTGACGGATCGCATCAATATTTAGCCGGCACGGACATGTAATCTAGACGGCTTGCTTATGTAAATTTACCATATTCCCAATCGTCTGCAGGCCGTCGTCGTCGGCCAACCGTTAAATCACGTTAAATCTCACAGCGAATCCATATTAGCATACTTCAACTAAACGTCCTGGGGCTACATTTACAGTCATTTTTCGTTTTTGTACGGTTCATCGTGTGTTTACATAAATAATTTCGTACCTAGAAACCTAGTTTTTGATTTTTGAACTATATGGCGCGACCACACGTATCGCGATTGTTCCGTTTTGCGGCGGCATGACCCCATAGAGAGCAGTGCCGTACGTGTTTCAACAAGTTTGCAATTTTTTAAAATTAAATAAATAAAATTAATTGGACAAATTATCATGACTGTGCTAATGCTATTAACCTTTTATCGGCTCGTAGACATTTTTGGCCCTATAAATCATACCGGTCCAGAATATTAGTAAGGAAATTGAAATACAAAATATATGAATACATTCTGTTTTATTGCGAACTGTATAATTATAAGTATATAAATAAAGTATTAAATAACATTAGTCGTCAGAATAGTTTGAATCTGTGCTATAGTTATCATTCAAGAATATAATTGTCTCATGTTTTTTTTATATTATTTTTCACTTCAAGTACATTCTCTCCAACTGCTCTCCGAAATTAATTCACACTGACTTTTAAATACATCGGAGGACAATTTTGAATTTCTGTTATTGTGTCTAACTTCGTTTTTTAATTCGGCCAACATCATTTCTATACATTTCAAATCGCAGTGATAAGGTGGTAATATGTTTTTAAGACCTCGTCTACGAAATTAGATCTAGCATATACGATTTGGTTCTTATAATTTCAATTAGTTTTTTTAGTATCTTTAAAATAAAGGTCATACTGATTAAGGAACTCTGGCAATATTGTTGCTGATCATTGATATTAGTTTTACCTGCCTGGTGGGATATTTGGAAGAGATTTTTTTACTCAATCTTCAAAAATTCCACATGTCATGTCCTGACGATAGTCTAATAAGCAGTCTTTAATATTTTTTGCTGAAAGTAGGAAAGCGTTTGCCAACCTTCCCTCGAGGCACAGTGTAAAATGGACTTTTTCCTCTAGCTGCAGACACATTCAAAGTGCAGTTCGATCGTCAAACCAAGTCTCGTTTAAATTGATGGGGTCTCTTTAATGCAACTACACGTGTCAATATTTTTAAATCTGCAAATAAATTATATGATCAAATCTCGAGATTTATCTCGAGGTAGGTGAGCAATAATTTCGTGTCGAAATGAAAGACACATCTGAAAGTCTATTTCGTAAGTTTCTGTGTTTCTAATTAAACTGGGTTAGTGAAAAGGACAGCAACGCTTAAAAAATATCTCCAAAACTGCCAAAGCTGGAACAAAAATTTGTACACAAATATGGAAAACCAAATGATGATAAATGAAATGAAAAATAGCATTTTAAAAACTGTTAAAAAAATTGTTATTGTTTTAGCCTCCAAAATGGCAGATAATTTCCTGGTATATTAAAAAGTTTATATTGTTTCAAATATATCAACTGGTGTCAGAGTAAACGTGGCCATTTATCAGTAACTGTAGATTATCAGTAATATTTTCCTATTGGTCCTACTGTTACTAAATATGACCCGCATCTAAAACTGGAAAGTTGATTAGTTGATATAATCGTTTAAATACCTATATGTGTCCAAAAAAGCAATTATTTCCTTATAACCCTCTAACGCTTTAAAAACAGTAATACTAATGAGAAATTATTCCAAAATATCATCTGTTCGATTATTGAATTCCGATAGGCATCTCGCAGGCGTCTCTGCAAAATTTCTCGAAATAGATTTAAATTGATTTTTGACATTTTCCACAAGTGAACACAAATTAATCTCTATAGAAAAAATAAATTAAGTGAACTTATAACAATAGATCATTAACCTTGTTACCAATAAGACTATTAATACAAAGCGACTTGGTGCTCACAATTTTCGATTTACTATTTTACTGAAAATCTCCGATTAATATTTTTACTGTTGTGCACTATTTCCCAGTTCATTTTCAGTTTGTGTTATCTTTGTGATTATTTCTACGGAAACTACTCTGGATAATTTAGCTGTAATTATTCTTCAGACATTATTGTATTTTATTATAATGTGACCGTGATTTGAAATTTTACATTTTTAAATGAAAGAGATGCAAAGATCCAATACTTTATTAAAATATACACCTGAACCCCTAACTTTACCGTAATAATAGTAGCAAAGTATCTGACAATTAAAAATATTTATTTTTTCGATAGATTGTTAAATGGATGATTTTGTATATCTTGAATTTTTTATTCTCACTTACGATTAATTAATATTCTATTAAAAAATTTTGTATTAATTAGGTGATCATAAATATATTTCATCATATTTTGTATATAATTTGTCATTCAGAGGGAACCTACTACATATCAGCTAAATGTCAGTACCTTGTCATGTCCATTTCTAAAATTTATCCATAAATTCTTTTTTTTTACGCAATAAATGCTTTAAACTAGTTATCGCATAAATTCTTATTTCTAGTATCAAACTAAAAAAAATTGATACTTTTTTGGTTAATGTTTTAAGTTAACACTGAATTAGGGGTTCAATAACTTTTATCTTTAAAATTTTATATGACTCGAGCACCCATATATCTTGATATTTATGAAGCGTCTAGTGAATGTGAATGTTGAAAGTCATCTGAGTACTGTTTACAAACATGGAGTTGATGAAAGAGTCCAAAGGGTTTATATGATTTTAGAACTCAAATTTATTTTGTCAGTACCGTGGATAAATGAGTCGGTTGAACGGAAAATTTGAAATTTGTTTCTCGTTCTTGACTCTTTGAAGTTGTAGTAAAATCCTTTCATGCTCTTATTTTTACTGTAAAATAGATGAATAATATGCATACATTTTTTAAAAAGACTAGTTTTAAAATCCTACAAATTTGAAGTAAAAAATTAACAGTGAGAACGGAATCAATCACCCATATGTTATTGTTATATGGGAATATATCTCGGAAATGTGCGTTGATAAACACCACAAATTAAATCAGTTCAAGAGTAACATCCTCAACAATGAAATAAAAACTGCTGAGCTGTTTACGCTTTAACCCAATGTAGTAATAAGTACCTCCCTTTTTGCAAGATTAATTACTGCCAAAATAAGTGTAATCCAAATTCCTAACCATTACAAATTTCCTGGCGTTGTTTTCCTCTGAGAAATATTATACTTGCCTGATACGTGCTAGTTTTCTCAATGACTAATCGGACTAATCCTCCCGGGTTCAATTAGCAAACCAGTTGACAACGGTTTTTCAGAAACTCTGTAGTGGGTTTATTATTTGGAAAAGTAATAATTAAAACTAGTTTTGTTTATTCGTGCAAGCGTGTTTTTTAAAGTCGTTGCATGTTCACCAACCTAAGTCAATATTATGCGGAGTGACACGGTTGAGTATTTTTTGTTTGTTGAATTGAAATAGTGGGTAAATGGGATTTGGGAAAAAGACGATCAATTTGCAGTTATCAAACCTGGGTGAGATTTAATACAAAAAATGTTCCTAAACTTTGGTTACATAAGGTAGGGCAAATTTTTGGCAATTTTCGTTGCTAAAATTTCTTACGATATTGGTCCGGATACTCTTAAAATTTTTATAGTTCACAAAAGAAAGTTTGAAACCTCAGCATTAGGAGATAGGAGATATAAATTACTAATTCAAAAAAATTTGAAATGTTGACATCTGCAACTATCTGTATGATTGTATGGCATAAATGAGAACAAGTGAATTTATATATTTCAGATAGTTTTTAAAGATTTAATAAAAACCATAATCTAGAAAATGGAACTAATAATTCAGAAACATTATAACTGTTACAATGTACCAGTAGTGAAAAATTTTATTTATAAAAAATATTTTAATCATATTTTAGGAACAAATTCTCCTCGAATTCATTTTTAAAACTATTTTTCAAGTTTAACTGAATGTACAAGGATTTTTCGCGGCTAACGTTTTGCAAATCCGACATTTTATCGTCCATCGAATTTTGGAATTTCAAATTTTTTTTGACAATCTTAATAAAACAGCATTTTTTTATTTTCGAAAACAGCGTTATCTTGAGGACTGTATCTTTCCTATTAATTAAAAGCAGAAATTGAAATGAGCAAAGAAAATTAATTGTTTAACTGCCTAATATTTTTATAAATATTGAAATCTTGTTTTAGTAATGATCCCAAACACTTATTCATAGCATAACCAGGAAAATATGTCTTTCTTTGCTATCTGTACCCATTATGCTCCTAATAGTTGTGGTGTGTTTACTAACAATTACGTGATCCCTCTTAACTTTAACTTAACTATCAACCCCTGACGTAAAACGTATAATTTTAATTAAGTTAATTAACCACCTCTAAGTCAAATGGGCGCTTATGGATTTTTCAAACTTCAGTGATTATTTTTTTTAAATATGACGACTTTGTACATAACGAAAGCAATCCAGAATATCTCGGCGGGGATATATTTTTGTATTTACATGTTTTATCGTAGCTTCGAATAGACACTTTTTACATAGTTGTTTAAAAAAGTTGACGATTTGGCATTCTATTGGGTGATCTAATAGAAGTTATTTTTACTAAACGTAAGCATACAAGCATATGGTCATAAATTTCAAGTACAACAAAAATAAATTAATATTTATCAAGAAACATAGAAAAGTTGCTAAACATTTCGGTAGTTCAACAAAAACTGAAAACTGTAACTAGGAAGCTCATGGAAACGGCCAACCTGACGCATCTTGTAACTCCAAATGATGGTGGACTAAACATTTAATAAAAATTATGTTTTTAACAAATAATAATTACTTTAAGGCACAAAAAAAACTAAATATATAGTAAAGTATTAAACAAAAATAATCAGAAAGCAATAACGAAAAAGAAAATGCAGTATTATGCTGGATAGACATAACAAAAATTATAATCAAAATATACGAAATACGAGTATTTTATTTTAGAATGCGATATCCCAGAACAAAATAAACAATAATTCCTCCTTCTCCTTACAAACCAAAAGATCTGGTAGCACTGTCTACTTCACACGATCTGGTTTATAGACAATAACCAGGAAGAGATCGGAAATTATGCACTCCAAATTTAAGAATCTCGCATCTACACTTATAAATTTTAATTAAGCAGTTGCAAAATATTCTGTAGTAACTTCCTCCTTGTTTTAACAATAACTGTTAAATAATACCTCTTAATAATTTTCCATTGAATTATTTTCTCAGCTTATGCAGTTACCAAATTTTATACCACATTCCACTGAACTCTGTTATAGGTAACATGTTAACAATGAAGAAACTATTTTAGTGGTTTACAAGAAAAATAAATCCCCTATTTACAAAAAATAATGACCGATGTTATGGTTATTTATTAGTAATATTACCATTATTTTATTTTGATGAATAATGAATTTACCTAGTCGCAGTCATGGAAGTCCTTACGATGCCGCATCGTGTGCTGTGTATATCGAGTTCACATCATCTGTGGAAGCAATTTAGCAATAATTATGATGATTTATTCTTGCGCGTAATTGGATCAGACTAATCGCTTGAAAAACTGCGGATCATCACGAGAGATAATGAGCTAGAAATATATCTTACAGAAGGCGGTGATATAGTAAACACTGGGTCATTTGCTCAACCAGAGCGTCATAATTGCCTTATTATAAAAACGGCAGATCATTATAAATGAGCAACGTGACGAATGGCTCTGATATTTCTGGGAAATGGGTTTCTAGTTACAGAACGACCTGAAGATAAATTCACTTGAAAAACTCATTTGACTCGAAAACAGAACTGTAATTGCCTAGACAGATTAAAATTTCAATATGAATCGGATAAATATGGGTAATATACAATTTTGTGACGTTATTTTGAAATTTGTTCAAAAATCAATACATAAAATAATAAGTGAATCAATCAAAAAATCGATCAATCAATACATTCAATAAATGACTGTTAAACTGCTATTATTTAGAAGTTTTTCATTCCCAGGGACTCTTAAAAATTAAATAAAAAAACCACAAAAAGAAGTGTGATTTTATGTAACATATTCTTTTGCTATCTCTCGCGATTTGGGATATATATATATATATATATATATATATATATATATATATATATATATATATATATATATATATATATAGTGTTTGAAGGGTTTTCGGAGCGCGAGCATTGAAGATGCCAAGTGAGATTTTGGCGGATCCAGGATTCCAGTCGGATGCAGGATTTGCAGGATTCCAGTCGAATGAAGGATTCCAGTCGGAGTTCAACGAGCGAACGGATGATATCCCGGAATATAGTGTCATCATATATATATATATATATATATATATATATATATATATATATATATATATATATATATATATATATATATATATATATATATATATATATATATATATATATATATATATATATATATATATATATATATATATATATATATATATATATATATATATATATATATATATATATATATATATATATATATATATATATATATATATATATATATATATATATATATATATATATATATATATATATATATATATATATATATATATATATATATATATATATATATATATATATATATATATATATATATATATATATATATATATATATATATATATATATATATTAGAAAAAACCATAATATGTCATTTCAGATATTTGTTGGAATACAAATTATACTATTATACTATGTAGGGTTATAAATTATATAAAATAAAGTTAAAAACAGAAACACACATCCTATACTCATTTTGACAATATGACACTTTGGGTTAATGTATAATGTCAAGGAATAGAAGTTGATAATGGTAAATAACTTGATTAAAACTTTTGAACCTCAAAGACCAGTGCTTCTCGCCTGAAAATTGTGACCCAGATCGACAGAGCATCGACTCGAAATCGATTCTTCACGCGATCGAGCGAAACACAATAGCCACCGGATACCCAATACGAGCAAAATGGATTCGTTATTTACAAAATTCATTGTTTTGCGAATTCCCATAATCCGTTTTTACGACACAATGCAAAAGTGGCACAAACGGTACCTCATCCGATTTTTTCAACATGAATGGAGCCATCGATTTTCTAATAACCTAAAATATCCGACGTGATCGATAACGGCGCCCACCTTTCGTTTGTGGATAGGAAATAAAGCAACGCGACCTTGTGTTCAGATTTTCGTCTGTTCTTTTATGTCTGGAAGGCTACGAGTTCGATCTAATTAAATTTTTAAGCAGAACCTGAGGGTGAAGTAATGTATTAAAACTAGGGAAACTGTCAGCGACAACAATCTGAAATTAATTATCTAAATGGGTCCATTAAAACTACTAAATAAATAAATAATATAATAAATAACTACAAATAAATAAAAAACATAAAATATTTATATAAAGTCAATAAAATAAATGAGCCCAGAGAGAACAAAATTGTCAATATTAGCTATTTGTTAATGTTTCGTAGGAGACAGTTCTTGAAATACTCCGCAAAAAGATCTGACTTTAATATGGACAAATCTTCCGCACTCCTCTTGCATCGGTTGCTGATGAGTCGAACTTGCTGTTGGCTCCTTCAAATCCTAATTGAAACAGTTTAAACTGGCGATCTTCTAATATTCTGTTTTTGCGCTTGATGTCCGAGCCATAAGCGCTTGTTAATTTTTTAAAGAAATTTTCTACAGGCAATCAGAAAAAACCAACAGGATGATTGGCGAAAGATTAGCAAGCTTAATTAGTCAACAACTGAACCAAGAGGAATCCATAAGGTTTATGAATAGTATTACAGTAGCCTGTGGACGTTTCTTTGAAAAATTGAAATTTCTGACTTTTCTGGTAGTTCATGCTTAGCTTTTTTTCTTCTTTTTTTCAGCTACTACAATAAACCAACTAAAAATATAGGCTTCGCAAAAGAAACTCTAGTGTAGGTTGCCTACATATTCTTTAATTTTATCATTTCTGCGATTTTCCGCTGATCTTGATTCAAGAACTGAAAATTTGTTCCAGAAAATTGGAGTGAGAATTCAAATAACTTAAAATATCCATGAATCCATTATTAGTGGTATTTGTCAAATGATGAACCGACTTGAGCATTGCACAGAATGACCTCTAACTTATGATAACTAGAAGACGCTTTAAAACAGAACATAAAACAGTTTGATTGATTGATGTTTTTATTTTTTCAGTTTTGCCATGTGGATCGTCTTATTGCTAGTATTGGCTGGCAGTTTGGGTGAACAGCTCGATGATACTGGAGAAACCGATGGAGATTCTTCTAGAAAAATACTTGGATCCAGGTAAATTGATAGCGATGATGCAACCTGCAGTTTCCCAGATTTTGCGTTTGGATTCACTACTTGATTAACGGCGGAAACGTCCTATGTTAATGCTAATGATAATGGTAAAATTCATTAAAATTTATAGCTGCGTTTCCCTCTTTGAATTCTACGCCTCTTTAAATTCGTCGGACGTCCATGTGGCGTTGCGTTGCCTATACTGAGTGGAACAAGTCCATTATTTCAAAAATGTGCACATGTGTGCTATTGAGTAGAAACGATTTTTGTCACCTAAAAAAATAAATTTTCAAATTATTTCTTAGGGTTGGGTCTTGTAAAATGTAGCATCGTATTTGTATTCTTCTTATTGCAACATTTGCAAATATATGGGCAGGTCTAGTAGAATAGACTTTAATTGGCGCTTTTATTTTCTCGAGAATTTTTAACAGTAACACGTATTTAAACTTCCTACAAAACGAACTGAGTAAAGTAGTAGAGGTCATTCCTTTACAAATTCTTGTACGATGGGGCTTCCCCTGGTTGTGGAGTCATCGTCCGTATTTATTTTAATATGTACAGTGTTTTCCAATCGGTGAATGGGCAGGGTAGGTCGAATTGCTGGTCCCGCACGATCTTCAAATTGGAATTCGCTAGACTTATTTTTAAAAAGGCATTTGAAGGAAGTAATTTTTTGTGCGAATTTCTCACTGAGCGAATTAGTATAATATTTAGTAGCTATGCTTCTGAACGGTAAAAAAAATGACTGAGAAGAAGAATGCAAAATGTCGTAGAAAGAGGAGGGCATTTGCAGGACCTTATATAAAATAGTTTTATTATACTTCTCATTTTTTGGTATACTTTAAGAACACTTTAAATTTAGAAAGAAAATGGGTAAGCAACGCTTTTATTTTATTTGGGTTCCTTACTTTCGTTAACAATTTTAATTAAAAGATGAAATATTAATTAATAAACAAAAACGAAAACTCATATTGTGTTTTAGAATCTGCCAATGGTACAGCGTGAAAAAGTTAGCTGTACAACAATCAGTCAGCTTCTTGTAAGCCTAAAAATATATCTTATGCTTTAATTTTAATTTAAATATCTCAAAAACAGGAAGAGCTTTAAATAAAAAAGTAAAATAAAAAAATTAAAAAGTAAAAAAATCCTAAACTTACTAAATATACCGGTATATAGTAAGAATAGTCTTATTTCTTGAATAATGATTTCAAAATTTAGATACTGCATTTTGAATCATCCTATGTGGGAATTATTATCTGCGACCAAATATTAGATACTCGCTGACAGCGTCAAAGATTAGAAATCGTCCCTATTGTCTCAGATCAATGACAAAGGAATTTGTTTTAATTTGCTTAATTCCATTAAATATGTCCCAAGTATTACCACTAACTGCAAAATCTAAACTTAACATTCCATCTACGCTATCTAAAGTTTTCGAGAGGGTAACATAATGCTGAATGAAATTCCGCCTGCTATTCAGTCACATTTTATCCATCCATTGACTTCAGTGCAATTTTAAATTATCTCTTGTTATGAACTGCAGTCTCCGAACTAACAATTGTATCATGAATTTTCGGAACTCTGCTATTCTCTCTTTAATATGTTTGAAAGAAGAGCTCTACATACTCTAATTTTTTTCAACAAACTGCCCAAAAGAACAATGTCCAAATTACCTTAGGACAAAATTAAATTCATTTTCCAGTGCATATCATAAGCGCTCGTTCTCTTTTGTTTTAGCAAAACTATTTAACAAAGCAACTAGAGAACTAAAGTTGGTTTTTGAGAATTGAAGAGCGCTATTTAATTCACATTTTGTTTGATACCTTCTCTGGTTTACCACCTTGCCTAATATCAATTATTTTCTATGTTACGTTAATTCTTAAATTGTTTTTAAGTTTAGCTGAAATGATCTATGGTTGGCTATATTTGTTTCGTGAAGTTATTTGATTCGTAGTTAAAATGTTAATTGCTGTTTCCAGGTGTGATGGGGTGTACGAAACTTACACTCTAAGCAATTTGAACCCTAGAGTCAAAATAGGAGATTACTTATTATTATTAAGCAAACTTGATTATAACGTGTTGATGGAAAATATCCATTAAATTTAAAAGACCTATCGCTGTTTTGGTATTCATAGTTTTTGTTCGTATTTCTATCGCAATTATAATTTATTTTTCTTGAATATAATTGTATTCTAAATACCATTCCCGCAAGCGACACAACGCGTACTCGTATTTCAAACTCGAAGAAAAGTACGCCAGACAGAATGAATGAGGACTACGCGGCGTTCTCTCTGCTGCATGCCTATTATACCCACATGCGATTCATTCAATTGATTGATTATGCTAATCGTTTACGGATCGCTTATACTGAGATTCTTGCGCACCAGTGGTCTAGTAAAACGGCGCACGAATACCTTCAAGGTTGCGGATATTTCACCGACCGTGATGAGATTGGTCTTAAATACGCGCAAAATAACGGTAACAAGAAATCATAACCTCAATAAAAATGGCACCATTTGTCGATTTGTTTAGTTTTGTGTGATTTATATTTGCATTTTCTAAATGCTAAATACCTTAAATTCTCACGTCACATATTGTTCTTTAATTAATTAATAACGTGGTGGTAACCTTAAAAACGTTGTAATTATCCCATTTATGTCGTGACTTTGCGACCAAAACGCTATATGACATACTATTGTGTAACGGAGTTTTTGTTTTTCAAATGCTGCATTCGTTGGAACAACAAATAAACACAGCATCATCATTTCGTTAGCCTGTGTTGGTTTTTTAATGCAGTTGAGGCTAATTACTCATTACAGATCCATCCAAAAACTGCAATTTTCGGTTAAAATTTGACAGCAGAGTTTGAGGTCGCAATTAGCTATTGAACTGTTCTTTTCTCGTGCTGTACCTGACAGTGAGTTTGTTCCAAAATATTTTTTCTGTTTAATCTTTTTTTATTCATTAATATATTTCGTCCATGATTGCTCCTTATGGCTTTAATTATCGACTGATAATTCAGAGCCCCTTATTATATCAACATTTCGCATTTCATCACCTAACTTATTTCAGCCACTAAAATCAAAGTCGTTTCTCCCAAAACCAACCAAAACTGATCCAAATTTACATCCTAAATAACTGAAGTAACTGAATTAACTGGGTGACAGTTTAATATTATAGAACTTGGGCTATGCAATTATTATAAAGTCTAATAAATTCTAATAAATAATAAAATAATAATAAATAATAAAATAAAATAAAATAAATTCTTAACTACTTACCAAATTAATAAAAGTATCCAATATCCATGAAGGCGATACACGACACTTAAAGTTGTATTAAATTCCTAAGCAACAATACCGCTGCTTTTTAGAGATTATTTAATTATAACACTACTTATATTATAACGCACATGTCCATCTGCGAAGTCTTAAGAATAAACTAAAAAAAATACTGTTAATGATTCTTGATTAAATATAATGGTAGACTTACTTTTTCCTAGTTCTAATAACAGGTTATGCAACCAAGAGTCTTTACTTACTGTGTCATATATCCGACAAATTGTCAATAAATATATTCAGGAGTGAATTGAATGTTGCATGCCTGCTTGGCATATTTCACCCAAATTACAAATTCCGTGACCACTTTCTCACCTAACCTGTATATAGTATTTACTAATAATATATTATGCAACAAGTGCGGTAAACGGCATTTGACTCACGAGTTTATTTAGCACGAGCGGATCGAGTTTTTTTATAAACGAATGAGTTAAAAAGTTTACCGAACATGTTGCGTACTATACTTTTTCTACGACCGTTAGTTTTTGGGTACATTTTCACAAAACAACACGAATACATTCACTGACATGACTGTCAGAATTGACAAAGGTCAAAATTTAAAGCGTGGGAAAGTGACGTTTCCCGCACGCTTGATCGGTGCGTAATTAGGTATATTTTTCTACTCCCGTCTGTAAAATACCTAATGACGCGATCAAGCGAGCGGGAAGCGTCACTTTACCGCGTCAGTTTCGTTTCCCACGAATCCGAGTCACTTCGGGCATTTCCGGTATTTTACCGCAGGGGTTTGGCAGCAATCGGATGTTTTCGGAGATATTTCCCACGCTTTGAATTTTGACGTTTGTCAATTCTGACAGTCATGTCAGTGAATGTATTCGTCTTTTGCGAAAATGTACGCAAAAACTAACGGTCGTAGAAAAAGCATAGTAAGCAACACGTTCGGTAAACTTTTTAAATCACTCGTTTATTAAAAACTAGTGAGTCAAATACCGTTTACAACACATAATATACTATTGTTGAACTAGGTTTCTTTTACAGCGTGGTTACGTCAGTATCGGTCGTTATGGATACTGGCAATGGAACGAAAACGGTATTTGCCGACGCCGTTGGAAATCCGCAAGTCAGGCCGGCCAGCGCATCCGAAGTCGCGAGTCCCATCGAACTGTTGAACCCCGACAGGTACGAATTCTACACGTTCGACGATAATGGCGACTTGGTGAAAAGACTCATGTCTCTCGAAGAAATTAAAAGCATAATAGCGACCGGAGACACCGACGCTTTCGATTTGGACACCTTCAGCTCCAATGGTTTCGTACCCGAAAAAAGAGTTACTGATATTATCAACAACGTTCAAAACGTTTTGAAGGAAGAGATAGAAACGCATAAAAGTCCTGCGACCGATTCCAAACCGATATTCGATACTCCCGACGTCAGCGATTCGTGGAGTATGATTTTGCCGGCAGTTTTCGGAAATTCTGGTGGCGACATCAACCCGGAAAAACCGATCGTTCACGTGACGGCAGATACGTTCATGGTTGAGCCGAGTTCCTCTACTTATTCGACGACGATTAACTTACAATCGAAAAATAAAAGTCCTACTACCCCGGTGTTATACTCAAACGTTTTTACAGGCAGTTCGACGACACAGTTTACCACACCTAGTTCACCGGAATCTTCGATCAAAGTAGAAACATTTTCGAACGGTCAGTCAACGACTTCGAAAAATAATGCTCCAGAACAAATATATTTCCCGGACGACCAAATTTTCTCAACGTCTGCTAAAATAAGTCCAACACTATCTGAATCACAACAGTTAACATCGTTAATGCCGGAAATATTTGTGTCGTCCAGTACAAATACATTTACACCATTTCCGCAAGGCACATTTTCCTCTTCGAGTCTCTCGACAATGTCATCGCAATCAACTTCATCACCGCCCGTAATTCCCACAAGATATTCGTCAATTTTACCATCTTCGGCATCGGATGTGCCTCTCGTACGAAATCGATCTACAACTACGTCCTCGCCAGCAAGTACGCACACTTCTGTCCAAAATCTGACGACTTATAAGCCCGCTACAAAAACACCACTAACTCCCGTTACAATACCCAACCAAGGGGTAATTGCGCAAGAGATTCCGGCAACACCCTCGACAGAATTGCCTATCCTTCAATTGTCTACGCTGGTGTCAAATAATGGTATATCTCAGTTGGATAACAGGTTCGGTGAAACTAAAACAACTACAGACTCAACTACATTGAGTACCATAACTCCAGAAATTACGACAACTATAGAACCAACCACTCTTCAAGCGAATATGACTTCCCAAGAAAAAATTACCACGCTGAAGTACGAAAAAAATAATGCCAGTCATCAACCTCTTGGTCTAGACCAGAATCTGTCAGCTTCAGAAATATTAAACCAACTTCTATTTACCACAAACATTTACGAAATTAATACTGAGCTGAATACTGCAAATAAGAATAACATTGAAGCTGAAAGTTTAACTACGGTTCAATACAACCAGCAAGAAACTAGTACGACACAAGAACTGCTAACAGATAGCATACCCACTGAGAAAGAATTTAATACGCCCGAGACCACCACTGATTTTAGCATAATGCAAAGCATAGAACAGTTATTATCTCAAGCGGTAAACGATGCAGATGTACCGAATAATTTAACGGATGATGCAGTTATTCAACAACACATTTTAGAAAATTTATCTCAAACGAATATGTCTGATTTGGTTAAGGAGTCAGCCACTTTGGCCTCGCAAATTATGCTCGACAATGACAAGATGGACACAATAGAAAGAATAAATGAAGATAACCAACTTAAAACAACTACAATTCAACCACCGAACACAATAAAAGGTGATAATTTTGGCTCAACGCCTGAAACACTTACAAGCACATCATATTTAAGTATAGAGACTACAGAAACATCTACTACAGAAAAAGTGCCACTGGAAACCACACGATTCGCAGATGAAAATCAGGTAGAGAACGATGCGGCTACAGAAACAATAGTATTATCTGAAAACAAAACACCTACAACGGAAAAATACCTAAATCTTGACGAGCCTGCACGTATAATAAATATCACTATCATCAACTACAATTCTGACGACAAAGTAAATGAAAGTATTCAATCAAAACCTGCAAATTACAAAAAGCATGATGATCATGAAGACGAGTTATTGAATAATAACGAAAGTCTTATCACAACAACAGAAGAAGAAAAGGACACAAAAACTACTACCAAAGTGGACTACACAAACGCAGGAACGACTTTAGGCGATGCAGACTGGACTACTACACTAAACTATATGATAACTGAGCCGTCAACGGAAGTAACATCTGGATATTCCTCGCAGTTAGATGAGATCACTATACAGACTGCCACGACAAACAAAACTGTGTCACCCCCAACATCAACTAAACCCCGAATACCATCTATAGTTATTACGTTGACTAAAAACGGTTCTTCAATTACTGAAAAGACAACGGTCGAATTAAATAAGACTGATTCGGCGGATATTACCAGTACCATAGCCTCTGCTAATATTGCTACAAAAGGCACTACAATGGCACCATTAACGCCACATAATGAAGCCACCTGGACTCTAGTATCTACTCTGACGCCCTACGAGAAAGTTTCCACAGAGAGCCCCGAGACATCATCTAAAATACAATACCCAGAAGTTGTAGATCTCCCGGTACCGATTGATTTGGTACCGAAGCCAATTCAAGGCTTCGGTCTCGAAGATACCACAGCAAGTTTAGACACTGATATCTACCAGTTTGTGCAATTGTGTAACGAACTAGCATTCGGTTTCTGGAAAACATTGGCGAATGATCTAAACGCGTCTAGAAGCATTTTTGTTTCTCCATTCGCTGCAACATCTATGTTAGCAATGGTGTTTTTAGGAGCCAGGGGTGCGACATCGGGAGAGATGAACGAAATTTTGAAACTTGATGACATGGTAACGTTTAATCCTCATCTAATATTTAAGGAAGTGTCTGAGTCTATCAATAACGAGCAAGATTCTGGAATAGCCACATCGGTTATTGGTAGGGAGCTGTTCAGCGATAAGAGTAGAGGCAAGCTCTTGGACTTTTACAAGAACAGAGTGAGAGCGTTTTACGACGGGTATGTGGAAGAAGTTAATTTCAAAGAAATCGGAGACGTCATCAGACGCAGAACAAATCTTTTGGTCAAAAAGCATAGCCATGGGAGAATACCAGAATTTCTCAAGGACGGATCGCTTAATGCAAGATCTCCTTTAGCCGGAATTGGTGTTAATATTTTCGAGGTGAGTAAATCTATCTTTATAAATAAAAGATTATTCGAGAGTAGGACAATTGCACCCACAAATTAAATAATTTACCCGTTTATGTCTGACGTAAGGGCAGTTGCTCACATACACGCTTGACATTTTTGTATTGCCAATATCGTGAGCCAAGAAAGTGGGACCGAAGAGGTCCTAAAAAATGACTAACTCGATTTAAATATGTTTATGCAAATTGATACGAATCATAAACGTTTATTTGTCATTATTTTGCTAGTCTGTGCAACCAGGTAGTTAAGCGTTCGAAATTTAAATAGTTTGCCATTTGCTTGTTGCAAGAATATCATTCGCGTGATATACTCAGGCGATGTTGTGAAACCACCAATTCCGGTGATATTTGCGGTTTTCAGTTTGGTTCGTCAAGTAACTTTAGCAATTATATGTATTTTTGTTGTGATGTTTTTAAAGGAAACTCTTCTGACTAATATAGACGATTCTGTTTTAATTCAGTTTTGTAAGCTTTTGTAATTTAAGTCATATCGAATGATTGAAATGTTTTTCACCAAGATTTCTTACAAACTATTATAAACCCGAATAAACGGAATATTTTCCAGGTGTATTTTTACATAAACTTGGAAACTTGATTTTTTTAGTTCAGATGTATTTTGTGAGTTTAATTTTTACTATGAAATAAAAAATGGTAAAAAATATAAAATTATAAATTATACAATTGAACGCGGCCCTGTATGTGCTCAACAAATCTAGAAAAGAACGATAGATAACATTATAAAATGAGACCCGATAACCCATTCATAAATTGTGTAGAAAAATGTATCTAGCAAAATATTTATTATTATTATTAATACATTTATTGCTATAAGCCTGCACTGCCACACAATATATACATACACATACCAGTACGCTTTATAAAAATGCAGACACCCGCTGATCCAGATACTGTTCAGGCTAAGATTTGAGTAGATACTTTCAAATTGACAACGACAAGTTAACAGATTAAATACTGGAAGTAGCTTTAACTGCATATTAAAAGTGTAGGGAATTATACTTACAAGAAACAAGAGCGATAGAGAGAGCTTAATATTTTGAATTAAAAGATGGAATTATTTCACCGGATATGAGGACGGAACTAATTCGTCGCTCATTTCTATAATTACTTTTGAATACAGATTAAGATATTAAAATTGCGTATGTTATTTATATTTTGGGCAATATTATAAGAAAAAAAATCTAGTTTTGGGCGTTCGCTCAATAAAACATGTTTAACTAACCCGACCTAATTAGGTAGGGCGAAATATGATATTAAGGGCTTGTCGGGTGTCCTTTAGATATGAGATGACTGGAAATTCGAAAATGCTAATGCACGTTTACGAACAGTAAATCCTAAATCTCAGCTTTTTCGAAATTATTTTATTGACAAAAATCTTTCATCAAAAATTAAGATAAAAGGAAAAATGGAAAAAATTAGAAAAATCGTTGTGTCCAATTTTATTTAACCCTTTTGAAGTATTTGAAATGGGCTGTGATGAAAAAATACATACATCAGAAATATTTTCTTCAAAAATTCATATTTACAATAAAAATAAAGTTAAATTGATAGATTTTCCAGACAAATTAAATTATTTTGAATATAAACTCAAATATGTAAAGAACGCAACATTATTTTTTTTGCAAATATTCAGAAGACGTCAAATAGAAAAAAAAATACTTGCATGTATTTTATTTTAGGTAAACTGTTTTTTATAAATGTTTATGTATTTTTCGTATTCATGTCAATATAGATATTAGTGAAGAGAACCACCATTAAATATGAAACTTTTTGCGGATACCTAGTGTTCTATTATTTTATTTTATTAAAAATAAGATTTTCAGATATGAATATGAATATATAGCAAATAAAATGTTTGATTTCTGTTAGGAAAAAGTACATGGCTTAAACGTAAGTCTATTTTATGACAACAATAAGATGCCAACACATTATCTAATTCTAAAACAACACTACAACAACTTATAATTACTTATTTAAATTATCATGTTGTTTTCAGACGGATTGTTCCCAAACTTCTGTAGGGGGTCGAGACGGAGAAATTCACTTTGTGGTGTCGCCTTCAATTAGACAAAGACGTCTCATTCCGATTCCGGCAGTCGTATACAAATCCGGATTTCTAGCAGGCTATGAACCCAGCTTGGACGCGACTGCCATTTCGTTGGGCACGAAGGACCAAACAATAAGTACCATCTTCGTTATCCCGGGTCAACAGGGAATGCCGGGTCCCGCCGACAGTTTACATAGATTGGAAAAACGTTTAGTCGAAAGTTCTTTTAGAAAAGGTAACTCATTTTGTCATATTTCCATTACTTTTAATTATTAATAGTTTCTAATTCTGACACTTAGTTTGGTCTATAATGTATCCTACCATTTTAAAAGCGTTAAATGTATAGGAGCAACCTGGCAAGTAAAGAATTTTTAAGGATAAACTTCGATGTTTTCAGAAAGAACAAACTAAATTTGAATTGTGACGATTTCCGTTATATATAATAATAATAATATACAAAAATTGGGGAAAAATCGTCTACAGCAAATCGTTCATTGCTCTAAAAACAATAGCCCAACGAAAAGTCGATTAACGAAATTGTAATCAGGCTCACAACGTGGATTAAAACCTCCCTGGTTTTAATTTTTAGTTAAAAAAAGGTATTTTGAAATAACTCAAAAATTAGTATATATAAATATATTAAACGCCAAACGCGCATAAATTGTGAAAGAATTAAAAGTCATAAACACAAATAAACATCCATTCTATTATACATACAACGTGGAAATTGGTAATAATAATTTTAATAATAACATTATTTAAGCAGGTAATTGAAAAAGTAGGTTGTTCTCTTGTGGACGTTTACATTAACATTTTTTCATGCAATTTATTATTACATTTACATTTTTAAGAGGAAATTAAAAACCCTGAACTTTGTAAATCACCGCCATCAGCAAAGACAGTGGAGTAAAGGCAAAGGCTTTGTTTGTGGGCTGCGGACGTTTCACATCTTTAGGCGGATATTAAATTGCCCTCTTTTTCTACCTTTATTCGGGAGCCCTTAATTTTGCAATTTGTACTTATATAACTACAGTTTTTCTTATAAAGCTGGTTTATAAAAGGCTTAATAGTCTGATCTCTAAGCAATTAAACAATACGTATGTCCAAGACGTATTGTTTAATTCAGTTCTTTCGTCGAACATGTCAATGTCTGATTCAATAGTGTGGCTTTTTGGCTTGACCAAGCCAGAATTGTCATTATGGATTCATTTTTTTCTACTGAATATTACATAATGCGTAATTTTCGACCAAAAACATGCACCAATTTGGTGGTGGTGTTTTCATCAATCTATATTTGGAAATTTCCTAATAAAATGCATTCATCAAAGAGATAAGTGATTTTTCCAATTTACGGTAATAACTTTTGGAGATATGGTATACTAAGCTACATAGTCTAGGTCAATAAGTGCAGTATTTACATCCAATGTTCAGGATTACAGTTTTCAACAAAGTAGAATTGGTAATATGAAAAAGAACATCTTTCTAGTTTCGTCTAAATTTAAGGCCGCGTCATGTCTTATGTTTATTTACATCACTATGTCGTGTAAACGACTCATCCCATTTCAGCAAGGGTGCTTGAAAGAAAAAGTTAAGTGTCTTCATATCCGTTACCACAACATAGTTCCAAATAAAATTGCTAGAGGCCGCAATTTGAAATAGGAATATTTTTTCTTTATTTCTTAACAGAAATGTATTTCTTGGGGTATGATTTTGATATAGTAATAATATAGAAATAATTTAAACAGCGCAGTTCCATATCATTAAAAATAAAACCTATAGCGTAGGTATTATTTCTTGTAATTCCTCTACAATTATTGTCAGAATTCCTCGTAATTCCTCTTCCTCTTAAGAAAGGAAAAATATTAAACGTTTTTGAAATGTTTGCAAAGTCAATTTTTATAAAAACTATACTTTCAGGTGCCTGGTCTAGATTATTACGTTCACTTATACCCCGTCCGGGTTTAGAACTTCAAATCCCACGATTTTCACACCGATCCATCGTAAATACGACGTCATCGTTACAAAAAATGGGGCTTCACGCGCTATTTGACGCCGAAACGGCCGATCTCAGAGGTCTAAACGGAGTCGCTAACGAGCTCTATTTGTCCGACGTCCTCCAGATCAACAGTTTTACCACCTGCGGTGAAAGAGGTATTGGGGAAACGCATCATTCTGAAGTATATCCTGCAACTCTCCATAGATCAAGGTAAAAGCAAATTAGTTTAACGGTCATATTGCACAATTGCTTATTTTTCGTTCTCTCCAGATCCGCCAGGCTGTTGGGAGGCTTGATATCAGGAATGGGTTTGGAAGAGCCCGAAGAATATCAAAGGTCGTTCTACGATCCTCTGCAAGATTCGGAATTATTCTCTCTGCCGTTATCTCTCAGACCACGTCAGGCTAGAGTACCAGAACTTCCGAGATTACGGTTCGATAGGCCGTTTTTGTATTTCGTCAGGCATAACCCCACCGGGTTAATTTTACACATGGGCCGATTTAACCCCAGATTATTGCCGTAAACTCCGTAGAATTACAACAGAAATACTGATATAGCTAAACGAAGGTGAAGTGTCAAGCTTTAAACATGTAAAAAAGTCGTCATATTTAACGTTGGTTGAAATACTGGAACACCAGATAGAATTGACAATTGCGTTTGTAATTCCCTTTTATTTATGAACTTGAAAAAATTAAGACTGTCTACAGACTGAGATAGTGCCAACGGTAATTAAATTCGCAACGTTGTTGAAATAGCCAAGGAAAAGGGGAAATGCTTTTGTATATTGACTTTATTCTAGGGTAAGACAAAAAAGTATTAATTCCAACTTGTACATATTTATTACTATATAGAAATAAGAAGCAGATGTAATTAATATCACCGCAAAAGCCGTCAAATTGGTAACGACGATTTTATCAACCGCTACACGAAAAAAAAATTATAATTTAAATAGTTGATAATTGACACCGTCACAAGTATCAATATTTTAATAAATCTTACGAGTCGATGGTTGCATAAAGTTTAATGTCAAGCAATAAATTTCTTTCGATATTCTTTACACTGCTTTAGTTTAGTTAATTATGTTAAAAAATTAGTAAGTTATTGTAGTGCTAGAAAATTTTAAATAAAACGATATATAAGATATTTTAACGTACCTCAACTTACCCCGTTTAGAAAAATCCTGCGGCTGTTACTCTCTATTTAATTGTGATGCGGACTTGAGTTCGTTTAGATGGATTTATATACGAAGTTTTAATAGTTTTAAAGCACTAAGCAAAAAAAAATATTTTTTAAAATTTAAATAAAACGCCTTGGAAATCAACGAGTCAAACTTTATTTAAGTGACTGCGACTGTGTCCACACTTTGACCTAATTAGCACGCCGTCTAGTCATCCTACTTATATAGTCACCTTATTTAACAATTCTCGATTGTTACCGGGTGGCACTCAACTACGTTAATTTAAACAGGTATGAGGTAATATATACTCATGAAGTGGCATAATATAATCTAATAATATAATCCCACGCTGATGCCGAATCGATATTTTGTTTGGTAAAATTCGAAAAAATATGTCTATTTTTTCGTAACCTTTTCCAGTCCAAGTCACTATCAGTCTGACAATCCCGGTGCCCAGAATTTTGTGTGTGGCCTCAGGCATCCCGCTGCGACCTGAGGATTTATTGCTAGCAGAAAGTCTATTATTCAGATCCTTAAGTCTTATGGACACGACTCCTAGTTTTGAGTACCTGATTCTTCCCACTGCCGAGCTCTGCACAGTATATGCTCTGCCGTTTCCTCATCTTCCATGTACCAGGTCGTCATTGGTGAGGCCGATCTTGTGCATATGGCGTTTGAGATTGCAGTGTCGATTCCAGTGCACATTCCTAAGAGAATTTTCAGATTTGATCTGTTCATTGCTAGTAGGCTGCTGGTCATGCGTTTCTTTGTGCGATACTATCAACGTCTTTGAATGGGCCACCACTGGTAATGGCAATCAGCATGCTTGTGTATCCTCTGCTTTGAATGCATTCGTTTTGCGATTGGCGTGATATGGCCAACATCGGCGGCGGAACTTTGCTTGCTAGGAGTTTGACTTTTTCATTATCTTCCAGCCCGCTATTCCCTAGTACCCATGTCAGCGTTGCCTCATAATGGCACCCTTACATCAAACTGAGGTGTTTTTAGTCATTTCATAGGTTAATTTCGATTCATATGTCACTGATATCCTAGGAATCATGTCTGATAGTTTATTCAGAATGCATTTCCATCAAATGGGTACTCTTCATCACCCATGATTGCGTGTTCACCGAAGCCGCTTGAAAAAGTCTGTGGCAGTTGTAGGCGTGGTGCTGAGGACACCAGTAATTGTCATAGACCTGCCTCTACAAGCTAGCAATTTTCGGCTGGACCAGTGTTATGGCCAAGGTATACACAACCATTCGCCATGTCTAGAGCGATCTCCCGCTTTTCTCAATAAGCTCTAGTTTAGCATTTTATATAGGTATCCAGATATTTTGCTTCGGTTAAGGTTGCCCTATTAAAGAAAGTACCAAACACTCCGGTTTTCTCCTGGGAGTGACTACTACAACTTTTACAGTTTTCCATTTGTATATAGTAGGGTTGCTTGGAGGGTAATTGAAATTCTCTTTTGGCTTTTTCCTCTAATTATGACAACCACATCCTGTGCATATGCATTTAAAACCACCTTTTCCCACAGTTTGAGGATGGCCAGCAGGTGGTTCACCTGTAGTTGGGTTAGGTTTTAGTGAAAAATTTGAAGAGGGCCATTTTTGTTTAAAATTGCTGTATCTAAATTGAGAAAAATGAAATGTAGCTGTTTAGCATATAAATTTATGAGAACTTTTTTTTATTTATTGCTATTAGCTGAATACCCTGTTAAAGTTTCGCCATAACAATTCAGACCACCTTGTGAAGGCTCAGAACATTTATTTAAAATGATTAATATTTTTCAATTATATTTTGGAATAAATGATACAAAACTAGTATTCAGAATCCGGCATTAAGAAAAAAAGCCTTTATTAACTAATATTCTATTTTTTTTCTTCAGATTTTTCATCCTTTTTCTTGTCCTTCAAGCTCCCCACCGCCTGGCGCACGGCCTCAGATTGGGGGTCGACACCAGGCAAGTTCTCCAAAACACTTTGTAAGAAAGCTGGATCATTCATAACCTCAGAATAATCCTCATCACCTTCAACTTCCATTGGTTCATCTTTTGATGATGTCGCTGCAAATGCTGTAAGTTACTATAACTAATAACAAAAAATCAAATCAACTTACGAGCATCTTGCATAGACATTTGCATAGCAAAGGCGATTTGCTCTTCTTCTGTCATATTGGCAAAATCTACAGGTGCTTTGGTTTGTACCTTATCAGGGGTGGCTCCATCTTCCATTGACATTGCCAATGCTCTTTCTAATAAAGCCTCCTCACTGGGTTCTTCCTTAATTGTCTCGGTCCGAGCACTTTCTTCAGTACCGGCAGCTTCTCGAGCTTTCCGAGCATCTTCTTCTTGGCGCTGACGTTGCTCCTCCATTGATACACGAAGTGCCTGAAATTTTAAATTCATTAAACAATTATTATATCAAAATATATAAATGTGGTAAACTCACAAGAGCTAGTTCAGGATCTTCATTGGGATCTACCCCAAATTCAAAACCTGAGCCCCCAAGACCAGCAGCACCAGTTCCATCTTCGCCTTGAATTATCGGCGACGAAATTAGTGCATCTGACAAATGAGGCCCTGGAGGAACTGTTATCAAATGGCTGCTGGTACCATCCTAAAAGTTTGCACAGTTCAAATAGTTATTTTAAGGGAATTTAACTTAGTTCTACCTTGCCATTCAAAGTATTTACAAATGTCATTAGAACATCAGAATTTGTAGCATCTTCTCCAAAACTTATTACATCAACGTTCACCTTTTCCTTTTTCAGTTTTTTGGCCAGCTTAACCAACTCCTTCTCTTCAGCAGAAACTGGACTTCCAACAAAAGCCACTATTCTCATTTTATGATTCTTCCCTTGTCGATGTTTAAGAGCCAACTAAAATTTAAAATCTAATAAAAGATTTGTGTTTAAGAAATTGAACAGAACCTACATGGGCTATTCTAATCCCAGTATGTAAATTGATATCTCCATTTGGTTGAACTTGATGCAATTTTGATAAAATCCTTCCAACATCACTTGTAAGGGTAGCTAATACTTCAACACTACAACCACGAATCATCTTCAGTACAAATTTTAGGCTGAATTTTGAGTTATTGAAGCTATACTTACTTTGCAAGAGTCAATAAGCCCACATTATTTTCAGGATTCGACCTGGTTTTTGAGTGACAAACTATATTCACAGCGTCTTGCTGAGCTTGTAATCTAGTGGGTAGGAAGTCACCATTTCTCATATAGTCGCTATTATCAACACTACAAAATCAACTTTTAGTAACTAGGATAGGCAAAAATGTTATTGTCAAGTCATTAAAATACAGAGGTTATATGTAAACGGAAATAAGTGAAAAATAAAAAAAATATATAAATCTACAAAACACTCACCAAATCATAGTACTTTCTAAAACCATTTTGAAAATTATTTGATGTAATTCACTCTAAAAATCTTAAATTTTACGATTCGAACAGTGACAAGCGATTTTATTTTGTACACAGACCTGTGGTTTTACCTTCGTAGATTGGTAGTCTGTGGTTCTGCTTAAGACCGTAGACAAGAGATTAAACCATACAAGTTTGTGTAGCAACGTTCAGTTCAGGCAGAAAACATTATTGGGTTTTTAGTTTTAATTTAAATCATTTATATTGACGTAAGTAAGTAATATTTATTTCAGCAATTAGATAATACATTCAAAAATATATCAAATGCACAATGAATTGATCGTGATGAATGAGAGATCGTAAATTTTAATTTAAATGGTAAAATCATCTTTAAAGGCACCTCATGAAACTTAAAATAACATAATATATTATAAATAAATTATTTATGACGCTACTTTAATAGTGAACAATTAGTTATTAACTATAAAAACAAAACTGGTTTTAAACAACAGACTCCCGCACAAGGATCTCACACCCGATTTGGAATAAAGGTTTAACTTGAGAAATCCGCTAAATAAACTCTCGATGACGTCAGGGCATGTTCAAATGGAAAATCTTAAGACGCTCCTCATATCTTTACCATGCTAAATCGCGACAACACAGTTTTGAACAAGGTACATCCCACTTGCTTGAAATTGCGAGGTCATGTTGTTCATAATAAAGCGAAACGGGCGACTTTATAGAACGACGGGGCGAACAATACTACCGCGCAAACTGAAGCTGCCCCCTGTGCTGCACTTTTGCTAAATTTTTGGAATTTATAAGTTGACTTGTTTCATTTCTTGAATATTTATTTTTTCTTGTTTTAAATATAGTAATCTTTACTCATTTTTAGTTGCTCCAGGTAACATACACCCACATGATGTGCATATAACTGAAGATAGATTAAATTTATGATATATAAATTTTCCTTCCTGCTTCTTTCTTCTTCTTCATGACGAGGAACTAGCGTCTGGTTAGGCGGCCGTCCATCAATATTCGCCTTCGTAACAATTCTTCATATTTTGAACAGTGGCAGTGACTACCTAACAACTATCTAATCCCTATAGTCCATGACAGTCTACTCACAACAAACTGACGGACTATTTTTGAAATGTTTGGAAGTTGGTTTGCCACAAAATTTAAATTCAAGAGGTGTTGTTTGAAAGTAATCGAAATTTTGTCCAAAGGTATTGAAGAAAAACTTTGAATAAGGATTCTGGATCAATTTATGTGAACTGTAAATACCGAAATATGGAGAATAACTCGTTTAGTAATAAAATTGAGGTTAGTTGTGATAGTTTTGGTCAAGCTATATAATGCACTGCCAGTTAAACTAGCAGGAAAATATTAGTGTAATTAATTTCACTATTTTAGGATTATCAAATTTCCAATTTATTGGGAAAAGGCGGATTTGCATCAGTTTATAAAGCAAGATGCCGTCTCACTGGAATTCAAGTTGCTATTAAAATGGTAAAGATTTCTATTTCTTTGTACTAAAGAATGATTTAATTTGTGATCATTTTAGATTGATAAAAAAATGCTTCAAAGTAGTGGTATGAAAAATAGAGTCCAACAAGAAATAGCTATCCACTCCCGTTTGAGACATCCCTCTATATTGCAACTTTATACATTTTTTGAAGATGCACAATATGTATATCTAGTACTAGAATTGTGTGATAATGGAGAATTGCAACATTATATAAAACAGAAGGTAGGTAATTTTATCTAATCAGATTTTTTAGTGATTGATTTTATTTAGGAGTTATCTGAATTCGAAGTTAGCAATATTATGAGGCAAGTGGTTGAAGGGATAAAATATTTGCATTCCTATAGCATTTTACATCGTGACATATCACTTTCAAATTTACTGTTAACCAGAGATATGCATGTGGTAAGTAATTTTATACCATAATTTATTGGAACCAGATTGAGGAGTAGATATATAACATGTTTTCAGAAAATTGCTGACTTTGGTTTGGCAACTCAACTTACAAGACCTGATGAAAAGCACATGACAATGTGTGGAACACCAAATTTTATATCACCTGAAGTAGCTTCTCGAAGTTCCCATGGGTTAGCAGTTGACATTTGGGGGCTAGGATGCCTTCTCTACACTTTACTGGTTGGAAAACCACCATTTGATACCCAAAATGTAAAGAGCACATTAACTCGTGTAGTTATGGATACATATTCTATTCCTGCCCATTTATCCCCAGAAGCTAAAGATTTAATTAACGCTTTGCTTCAAAAAAATCCTAAAGATCGTATTGGATTGGATCAAATTTTGGACCACCCTTTTCTTAAGAGGAGCTTGGTATGTTGATTACTCCTTAATGCAAAAATAGTTTGCATTCTTTTCCGCAGGTTATGATGACACATGACAGTGGTATTCATACCATGTCTAGTCGTAGAGATAGTGCGTTTAATGATGGGTCATATTCCTCTAACTTTTACTCAAGAAAAGCTAGTAGTGATTGTTGCCCATCAACTGTTCCCTACATTACAAGCCGGTTGGCTCATAGTTTGGAACAAGTCAATTTTTATGACCAACATTGCCATAATGAGCAAAACCAGGCTCTATGTGTTGAAAACACTGATCAGAACACTTCCTGCAGTTGTCGATCTGTTTGTAAGGGTCATGCAAACAAATACAGTTACCAAGAAATCTGTCCTTCTGCTAGCCAGTGCAATGGAAGCTGTCATCATTTAAATGATCCAGGAGGAGGTACGTAGGAATGATTATCTCAGATGAACTTGTAATATATGTCTACTCTGGCTAAAACACTTTTTTGTACAGGACATGCACCACAATCAGTTTTAACTAACCTCCCCTTCAAGTCACCCTCTTTACCGTTAGAAAGTACCAACTGTTTAACTGGAAATGGTAAGTCAGCTTCTCCATATAGTATGCCCAGTTATGCAATGTCCCATACAAGTCAAACAAGACCTGGTGATACATTTAAAAAGGAAAATCTAGAACAACTTTGTTCTCTGCGACTTTTACCCACTAAACACCAAACAAATAATGCTGTTTTAAGTATTTTGAATGATGGTGAAGTTGTAATAGAATTCATTAAACGAAGGGGATCAAAGAAGAAAGAAATGGTGTGTGAAGTTATGCGAATATCTCCAGATGGCGCAAGGGTGATTTTATATGAACCTGAAAGTGGTAGAGGGTGTCCTGCAGGGCAAGAGCCTACTCCAGTTCCATTGGCAGGTGCAGATCACATTTTTAGCATAAATAATTTGCCAGAAAAACACTGGAAAAAATACATGTATGCCCATAAATTTGTCAACCTTGTTAAAGCCAAAACACCCAAAGTAACATATTATAGCGATAAAGCTAAAGGCCTTCTAATGGAGAATTTGAAAGACTTTGAAGCATCATTTTATGAAGGTGGAAAGGTCACTTATTCCACCACTGGAGGAGTTACTTTGATTGACTCTTCGGGCCGAAAATATGATTTTAAAAATTCAGATGACTGCCATAGTCTGACTGGCACCTTGGAACTTATGTGGAATCATTCTCATGAACTTTTCGACCATTGCTTGTTGCTGGAGAAGACAATTTCACTAATGAATAGCAACGATTTTCCTATAATTGTCGGACGAAGGCCAATATCAGTGGTTAATTATAGCGATAAGGAAAATCATTCAAGGACTGCTGTAAGTACTAAATAATTCAAAATAATAGAAATTGCAGATCATTGTTTCAGCCCGCATTTATGGCGTCATTTAATAGTACTGCGCCAGGAACATCTTTTGGTACAAACGTTAGCAGGGAAAGGAAAGTGGTTGTTCCAGGGGTTGGAACTGCTACTCAGCTCTCTAATGGAGAAATAAAAGTGAAATATCATGACGGTTCCCAACTCTGGGTGGATGGTAAACACATCAGGCATCAATACCACCGTGATGGTCAAATTGTGAGGTATACTGTGGGCGGTAGTTTACCCGAAGACATACTGGAAAAGTTTCAGCACATGTTAAAAGCTATTGAACAGTTTCGGCCGAGCCCTTTAAGCACCAAGAAGATACACAATTTTAGGTAGTGCTCTTATAAAGAATATTTTCTATATTTCTCGCTAATATTGAGGAATTAAAAGTTAGAGTGTCCATTTGCAATCAGAGTACTAGAAATCGATTTATATTTTGTAGAACAATTTTCGACATATATGTAATTTTAGAGTCGCACCAACTGTTGTCTAGATGAAGAGCATAGGTTTTGTTAGGAAAATTGTTGTTAGAAAGCTTTAGTTATTATGTAAAACACAAATTATTTTCTAATAAAATGTAAACATTTATTAAACCTTTTAATTTAAACCCTGTCTCCAAAATTAACAGTTTTTGATATAAATGACCAAATTGATTAAGGCACTTTGAAGAAATACGTTATAAGTTTTGGTTTTTGAACTTGGTTGTTTTTGTATATTTTACTCAATATTCAGAACTTAGTAATTAGGTCTCAATGATCTCATGTACAGGGTGTTATTTAATAACTCTCTGATATTTTTAAGGAGTGATTTCTTAAATATTTTTACTGTAAAAAGTTGCTATAGTGGTCTAAAATGCGTTGTTTTCGGAATACCGGTTGTCCGTTTTATTTTTGTTTTCCTGTAAAATTTTCTGAATAATGCCGATTTCTGAACGTTCTTATATAATTTAGCTTTTACTTATAGGCGGCGTTAATTGCATATCCTTATGTATGACTTTATTCATTTTCGAAATATTTTATATAGAAGTAATTGATGCGTGTGTTGAGAAGTTGGTATTATTTAAGAAATTATACAGAATATTCAAAAATAAAACTTTGACGCCCTGTATCTCGAAAAATTTTAGGTCGACGTTTATAGTAGCTTTAACTTAAATGTGTCTGAAATTACTCTGTGAAATATCGGACACTTATTAAATAGCACCGTCTTTTCCTCTTGATCGTCACTTGCGGTGCCTATTAATTTTCAGAAAAAAGTTTTGTAGAAATGCCGTCGTAGAACAAATCCTGGATGTAATTCTAGCAGAAAACAACGTCTCCATTCTCAGCTGAAATAGTTCGACTGATTTAAGAGCAAAGGTTTTTCTCTAGCACTACTCATTATACTAACATAATTTTATTTATAGGTATATTTACAGGCTTTTATTTGTCTTAATATCTAACAGTATTATTTGGTTTGCAAGTAACGCAACTGCTGGTAGCTGTTTTTTTTTTTTCAATAAATCAACATAACAATTATTTACAGTAGAGTACAATTAATCCCTGAAATATTAGCATTCAAACATTTCTTATACAATCCGACTACTATTCCTTGAATCCAGCATCCCATTTCCTAATTGCCTTTTAAATAGCATCTACCTATTTTCACCATTAGCGTGGAAAGAACTCTGTATACTTCCGTAACCACGACCGCTGACTGACTCCAATGGAAAATCGTAGTCTGGTATGTGCCACATTTCTCGCAGACCTTTTAGCTCTTCCGGCTTCATAGATAACATGTAGTCATTTAGCTGTTTACTATTGAAGGTATTCTTGAGTATCGACTGCTCCACGTCCTCGCCTGCCAGAGTGATTTCAGGGTGTACTTTAGAGGGTTGATTTATTGGAAAGTCGTATCGGATTCCAGTTTCAACTTTGGGTGGCAGCACTTCAAGAGGTATGTTATCGGTGCGAGATTGTGTGTCATTACTTAGTTGAGTGTCTACAAGAAATAGTTAGGAAAAATGAATAAAATCATTTGATGATCAAAATTTAAATCGGGCCACTATTGAAGATGCTCTCAAAAATTTACTAAACAATATTTAAAACAGAAGATACCTTAGGCTTTACTGGATGATGGCTAGTCATTTTTCACCCAAAAGTTGCCACTATCCAAACCCCTTCTAAAAAACTTCTTAATATTGTTTAAAGAAAATTTTTTTTTTCATGCCATCCCTTAAGGTACTCTAGCGATTTTTCATCAAAAAGTTGCCACCATCTGCACCAGACGCTAAATATTATTTAGTTCCGACATTATGCATATACTTATTAACGGTACTACATGTTTTTTTTTTCATACTGCCTGCATATTGAGATATTAAATCTTTTAATAGTGGCATTTACCATTTTCAACGATATTCAAGTTGATTTATGTTCATGACGAGTGTTCTATAAGAAGTATATGGCGAATAGTGCTCCATAATCTATCTTTTTGAAGCACCTATAACGTTTCCAATTCAACCAGAAACAGACGACAACATTGGAAATTCAAATGGAAGACCACGTTTTTTGGTTTTGCGCAAAATCTCTCTTTCCCTTACTTCGGAAAAAATTAATGTTATGTTTTTTTTTTAATAGAAAAATACTATGAAACCTGAATACCTTTTTGCGTAAATTTTACAGGGGCTTCAATCTTAAAAATACTTACAGTAAAAAAATCATTTTTAATGCAACATCGGTAATATACCAATTGCGGTCCCACTTCAAAATAAGCCAAAAATGATCACCAAAATATGCCGGTTTACGACTGCAGCCTCAAATAACACTAGAGTTAAGAAATTAGCAGTGCAAGATTTGTAAAATTTTCTCCTTGATTATTTGCAAATTTGTAAAAATGAAACCTTCAAATCTCAGTTACCATTCTATTACCTATTGTATGATGTCATTTAGCTATTCCTCTTCCACTGCGAAAACGTTGTGTAATTGAAATTCACTAGAGCCAACATTAACTCGCCAAAAAATCCTTACAGCAGGTTGTTATTATCCTGAACAGAGCTCATTAAAATTTGGTGCACAACATTTTCCGTGTGTTGTTATAATATATAAATAAGGAACAAAATTTTGATTTTTGGAGGTAAAGAAAGTAAAAAGTAAAAGAAAATATTTTTCAAACAACTTTCGTTGACTTATAATCCTACCGTTATCTTGCGATTTGGGTGGCACTAATCCAATTTCATTCGGATTGGGGCTGGTGCTTTCCACAAATTTGGGATAATCTGGCGTCGTGGCTTTGAAGTTCGAGTTAAAATTCACGTGATACGTATTAGTGGGATTTTGTTGGTCTGATCCATGAATTAATGGAGGCAACAGTCCCGCGCTGTGCGGAGCTGGAGAGGTTGCTTCTACAGTTAAAGGATACACGGGCGTTGTAGCTGAAAAGCATTTTACGAGTATATTTATTTACACGCCTGCGTGATGCTACCTTTAAAGTTAGAACGGAAAATTTGCACTTTTTCTACGGGCTCTTCTTCAAAAGGCAATTGTTCCTCATCCCCGGAAAATTTCGTCAAGTCGGCGTCGACTGTCTTTGGATACACTGGGGTAGTAGCACGAAATTTAGACGGAAAATTCACTTTTCTTTCACTAGACAAATCGATTCTGTCTGCTGCAGGAACGTCGGAAATGATTGGAGGTTGGGGTGTGTTAACGCCTTTCCTTTCGTTTGGTTTCGTGTCGGCGGAAAAATCATCTACAGTGTCATTAATAAATACATGGGGTGGCGCAAAGTACTATATTTGCACTATTTATAACTCTTTTAAAAAATGCTGCTGCATAAAATCAAAAAGCAGCAGGTTGTTTTATAAAAAAAACAAATTTTTCTACATTTTTTTTACGCGTCTCAAATCTGCATTTGCATCTATCCACTTTCTCATAATCACACTTGTTTAAGATATTCGTTTTTATTAATCATTTATCGCTATCTAGTTGATAACATAAAATGATAGATTTCAGTTTTAGATATAAAACATACGTGTTTTTTAGTAATAATAACAAATTCATTCATTATCAGCCGATAAAGAGCAACAGTCTATGAAAAAGAACATAATTAAAGTAAAAAAAAATTTCAAGATTTGAAGTGTTGAACTACGCATTCAATACAATAGTAAGATCATTGTCAACAACCAAATACTTATTAGTGATTTTAATTAATGAATGGATACGCTCTTTTTGGCTGATAAAAATAACAATTAATAAAATTTCCAATTTTAGTCCACCAGAACGATTTAATAGCAACAATAACGTATTTTTAAATAAGCAGGGTATCAAATCGATTAAATAACTTGAAAATAATAAATGTACCACTGAATTTTATTTCTGTGTATATAATAACGAATGTTTTGGATAAACTTAGGTATTTGGAAATCTTAACGGTAGTGTTAGTGGGTGTTCTATTTAAAGTAGAAAAATGAGTTTCAATTTTGTAAAATGGGCTAGAATTTGGAAAACGCCTGTTATGGAATAATTAGTTACGTGCTTTGCCAAATTCTTAGAGTTGGATGTGGTGCAATATAACAGATTGAAGAATAAACGGCGTAATAGGAAAACGTTTTTTTTACTATATTTTCGAATATAAACCTTTCTTTAATTTTTCTATTGCCACACTTTTATGAAACACGATATTATGGACCACCTATTCAAACACCTTTTCAAAATATTGGAAAAATATTACTTTAACGAATGAAAGCGGTACTTACTGTTGTGGTTTGGTGAATTTAAATCCAGCCGTTTTCCAGATTTTACTCTCGATTGATTGTCTGACAGTCTTTTTATCGTATTGTATGAAGTTCTATAAAAGGATTGACTACTTTGGCTAATCCTACTATCGTAGTTATTAGGCACTGGGCTTTGGGTAATGGAATCTTTTGCATACTCTGTAGACCAATGACTTGGAGGAAAGTATTTTGAATCGTTCGTAGCGGTATTTAAGTTATGGTCGTCGTCGCCTACTCATAAGTAACAATGACCATACCAAATATCAGTAACCGTTTTCTCAACTTACCCACAATATTTGGTGAAGGTTCGCTAGGCGCTTGCGTTGGGTTATATGACTTATTTTTCGCGTTTGCAGGATCGACCAAGTCGGGTCTCGGCGTTCGATGGTATTGGTTATAATCGGCCACAAAAGGGATGCCTTTTTGTCCGATTAACAAATTGGCGCTAAAAATAAGAAAATACCACCCACCCACGAGGTTGCATAGCACAACTTACCTATAGTCCTGCTCAGCTTTGCTACAGTTAACCATATACCAGTGATCACAAATAAGCATTCTCTGTTGGAAAAGTGTATCCTTTGGGCATCTGTAGCTGAACTGTCTACCAAGCCCATCACACATATGGTATACCTGCGAGATAACCGAGTGTTAAAGTTTCAAGATTAGTTTCGAGTACTAAAAAAAATAGTCCTACTTATCGAAATTCAGTACATATTTAAAAAAATGTTTTATATAATTGATGTATTGCTTTTTTTGCCTAGAAGTTTAATTAATTCTACACCTTCTAGATATTATGACATGTTTAAAGAAATGTTTTCCCAATTTCGTCGTTTTACTTAGGAATGAAATATGGCCATAACAAAAGTTTCAAAATCTGCGAGGGAAAGGCAATTTAGCTCCCAACATGTTTCTACAAGATAAGGCAATATAAAAAATATTCAATAATAAGTTTTTGTCATATAGCATTACTTACCTGACAGCCTGTAGTAACATCTGCGTAATAACCCCACGATCTTCCTTCGCATGAAAATGATTTTTTAGGAGTCTGCAAAAAATATATTTTATAGTATCTGAAAACACAGTTTTATATGTGAGAGAAAAATTTCGCAACACGTTTAGAAATACCTAACATAAAATTTAAAACGAAACTGGAAGTTTATGCATTACTCATCCATTAGTGCCCATTAAAAATAAAACAATATACTATAAGCATATCCATGTTGAGTTCAATTGATCTGGAAAGATAAAAATTTTAATTGTAGCTTGTCGTGATCTATAATTTTCTCGACTAAATTTTAATCAAATCTTTCGGTAAAGGGCGACGTGTAATTCGATTTGAATGATATCGCAGACCACAACTCCAATAAATCAACTGGCCACTTTTTAATCACATTATCCTCAAATCTCAAAAAAAAAATAGTGTGGGATCGAGTTTGAAACATTCTTCAACAAAGTATATTGATAAATAATATTTAATATAACTACAAATTTTTGTGTATTACACTCATCAACAAAATACATGGTATCTATTTCGACACTTTGGGGATATATCGCACATATCTTTAAACATAGAAACATGCGTTTTTTTTGAGGCAATTAATTAATCAGAATCTTCAAGAAAGGTCATTTTGGTTAGTTTTTAAATTCAAATTGCTACTATTGCTGTTTGGGGAAATATTGTCACCTAACAATTTACATTGCACACAATTATTTTTCAAAAACCAACTTCAAATTCTAATTTTTAAAACTATTTATTTAATTAAAAGTGGTAGGATATCTGCTTAATGCACATATACAGATTATTTATTTTTTGCTTAGCCTGTGATTAATTTATACTAATTCACTCTGGTTAAAAAATAATGTATTAGAAAAAAAATCCATTAAAATAAATATTTTGTTTTTCGAATACTCAATTGCTTCATTAAACGCTGTCGCGAGTCAATTCAAGAGTTTCAGGTACTTCAGTGCGAGAGCGATCGGATGTTTTCAATCGATATTTAAAACGCTGATGACATTTTGATGACTGTAGAAAAGCATAGTACGAAACAAATTTTTAAACTTGTTCAGACACTCGTTTATTAAATACTCGTGCCTACACAAACTCGAAACAAAAGTGTCCTTTATTAAACTTTTTGGTTAATTTCCTGTAACTGAGTTATTTTGCCAAACATAAATGAAAACTATACGTAAATTTCTAATTATGTTAAGTTTCTAGACCTTGCATATTTCAAAGGTTAGGAAGCATTTAAAACTTTGTCAGCGTGAAATTCTTAATTCACCGTTCATTACAAACTGATTTGCGACATTGATATAAGGATAGTATTTAATTGCAAGTAACTCTTTTGAATTATGCTGGTGCCAAAAGCCCGTCTATTTTTTTTTTCGTTTCTAATCGCTCGATCTACACGATTGTTTACACCTTCTAATTAAAGAGTAGCGTGCCTTTATTTTTTCGAATTCCTCTTCATTTTGGGTGCGACAGCATGGCGTCCTTCACGATCGAAATGATTACTTAAAAATCGTTTGAATTTGCAAGTTTAATTTTCTCGAACATTATTGTAAGAGTTTTCGTCCTCTAATTGCTCTTATTGTTGATAATAAAACCAAACCAAAATTACAACACATTTATATTTTTATGGTTTCGATGATTTCATTTCATTGTGTTATGAAAAGTTGGAACCTAGTAGTTAAATTGGTATCCGACTATCTCAGTTGTTTAGTCTCTAAGTCTTAAGTAAAAGTATAGTTTATGTTTGTGGAGTTGTGATGTAAATATTTTTTAGGGAGTTTTGGTTTTGTTTATGCTTTGACAGCCTTAAGGTCGCGAGCTTCAGAAGCTTAGCCGCGAGCAATTAGTTTCTTAGCACCTGAGACCCTTTCAAGACTTTCATGATCCTTCCCATCCACCTGAGAAGAGAGGAAACTACAAAGCGTGTATCCCCATTTTCTGTTATTATACTCTATATTCACTTCCTTTTCAGAATCACTATCACCTTCATCTAGGACTATTATTAAAAGCTTTACGTTCATAAAATTATAATCACTTGAATAATAGAAATTTTTTGGGATATATTATTTATTTTAGTTAGAAGAAGGAGAAATAATTTTCGGTAATCTTATCATTATTTCATAACACATTGCGATCGCATTAGAAATATGTTTTTATTATCATACGGTGGAATATACAAAACCTGGATGAAGAAATATGGTTTTTGAAAATATGGATCATTTTACATTATAAACTTTTTTTTGTATTGTTTATCTTGATGGCTAGAATATATTAAGGAATTTGATTTTGAAAGCAAAATAATTTTGTACCCTAATGACACTCCAAAGACAAATTTGTACAAACGATTTTCTGAAACTCGCACTTAAAATTGTTTGTCTTTGTCCTTTATTAGAGGGAACTTTGGTTTTGCACTGACTCTTGGCCATATTTCGCTAAGATATTTAATTATTATTAACATTAACATTTTATTTACGGACCCATTATTGTTCTATGACATGAAATGTTATTTTCGTATAATTAGTTTTTCTAGTGTCACTATTATTTTTTATAGTCGGCATTTTTGTTCTACGCTTTAAAACTTTTGAAACTATATGCTTCAGGCAGAAGTTTGCCAACCACAATAAATGCTTTTATAATTTATTTCTTAATAGCATAATTTACAAAACACTCCATGTCATACTTTCTAAATTGCTCTATTAAAAAGAAGAAACTGAAAATGCGGCATTCCTCTTAATAACCTTTTAGCCTATTAATAAAATTCAAAAATTATTTTGTTGTGTTATTTTAGTTGCTAAAATATGACAAAGTTCCTTCTTTCGATTAATAATTGGATAATATTCACCTACATGTACTGTGTAACCACGAAACCAAAACTAGAAGATATAGGTAACCGGAATCGAATTGATCCAACCATTTCAACGTATTTTTTGCAATAAAACATTAATTGTTATGATAATAATAATAATAATAATAATAATAATAATAATAATAATAATAATAATAATAATAACATGTTATTTTAAATAAAATTAGTAGAGGAAACACATTTACAAAATTAGATTCTTTAAAAGCGTATAAAAAAAGCAATTAAATAAAAAATATGTATACATTATATACTCGTGTATCAAAAATGATATATTTTACAAAAAATCTGATCAGGACGCTACGTAAAAAGAACTATAAAATTCCGTTTTCATAATATCATCAGAGTAACTGAAATGGCCAAATTTTTCGTTTCTCTCTGTATCTCTGTATCCCCTGTATATCTAAGAATACAGATAACTTACAGTAACAACGAAAAATGGACACACTGTATAACACAAACGTAAAAGGCAATTTAACACATAAATCAAAAAATAAACATTTGAAGTTCATTTATTCATTTCGAAGTTCTTCATTCATTACACGATTTGGTTTATTCGTGAGGAAGTGTTCATAAATGTAAGGGAGGATGTAAGTTTTATTGGTGTAAAACAATGATATCATGTAACACATCATTACAATTGCGACTAAAGACAATGGAAAATAAAAAAATCGGTCTATGTTCCCTTCAACAATGGCTCGCATTAGAAAACAAAGAATCTCACGCAATTGCCGACAACTGTGCCCCGATAAGGCATTTTTATTGCTCTATAAATACTATGGTTCATCCTGCTTGCTAACATTTTCGCATAGAATGGAATTTCGCATTTATAAATGTTTCATAAGGGAAGATCTATTTTACACAAATGTTATTGCTGATCTAGGATAATCGTTCATGTCTTATAAAGATTCTATGGTATAATTGCTACAATGAAAAGACAGATTTTCTTTGCTAGATGTATATTTTATTTTTTAAATTCGCGTTTCATTAATTTTCAATAATATAGAACATTCATGGAATTTTTTTTTTCTGGTTTTAATTAACTGCATCTTATACGTGAAATCTAAACAAGCCATTAAAGGCGTTTTTTATGAATTTTTTTCGAAGAAACTCCGCAGGCTATTGAACTTAAGGGTTTGGACCTTTTGTCGCTTACGTTTTGCCAAAAATGCTGTTGGTTCCCTCAAGCGTTGTCTGAAACCGTTTTTTAGGCCTTGCGAGGCGTCGGAGGCAGAATCCAAATCAGATTCAAATATCCTCAAATAACGAACTAATATATTTGAAAGAATATAAAATTGCTTCATATACCGGATTTAGGTTTTCAAGGATTAGTATATGTTGATCACAACAAGCAAGAAGAAGAATATCATAATTTAAAAATTCAAAAACTTAAGACTAAAGCAGCCTTGGTCAAAGTTGCTAGAATACCCTATTAGAAAATTTTGTATATTCTATAAATTCATAACACTGATAAGAAGTATGCCTTATATAATAAGAAGTTTCAGCGAACGATAGGATGTTTTCACAGCATGCATCGCTCAACACACGCTCCGGTACCAATCGCGTATTATTTTCAGTTTGTGCCAGATTTCATACTCTCGGTCACCCTGACTTGTTAAAAAAATCACATTTTAAGTAAAATATATTTTATCTTGCAAAAACATTTAAAAAATAATACCACGCAAAATAACCTGATCATTTTTTTGCAATAATTGAATCGTTACTACGACGCCTCATGTTGTTTATTCAAATCGGATATCGATTTAATTTGCGGTGTTACATGGAAACTTCGTGATGTTCAACATAGCATACCTAACTACAAATCTATCAATAATAATCGTCTTTGAAAAAAACTTAGATCAGTGTAAAAGAATGTCATTTTTAAATATCATACTGTTAATTTGCGTGAAAAATATGCAACTCGCCACATTATGCAGCAAAGTTGCATTAAAAGTTTTTGCAACAGCAACTTTGCTTTTCGACGGTTGGAATGTTTAGTCAATTTAATTATGATTAAAATTTCCATTTTATCTAAGATTTTAATAGTATTTGCTATTATAATTATGTGTTTTACCGCGTCTGAAGAAGCGGCTCGATAATATTTATGCCTCGAGGCGCCAATCAAGGTAGCGCTTAATATAATATTTAAAAATAATTTCATTAATAATCGATATCACTGCACCAGTTCTTTGCCAAACGCTTTTCTGATACTCAATAAACCAAATTTTTAAAAAAATGTTTTCGTTGCAGTTTTTGCTCTTGCTTTTTGCAATACGTTAAACGGATGTTCAGAAAAAAATCTCGAAAACCGAGCAGTATGAATATAGTCGGAAAATTTAGAAATAATGGTATGCAGCAGAATTTTTTCGACCTAAAGTGGAATATCAGAATCATAATATGATAATGTAAAACGCATTGTAAAAAATGTAAAATCTTCACTTGTTTCTAGAAATCATTGAAGTGCTGAGCTGAAATATTTTTATTCACTTTGCAAAAAAATCCAACCCTCGCTAGCGTTTTTTAAATAGGTGCGGGAAGTATTTTAATATTACAATATCCACTATTATAGGCATTCAGTTAAACTTGTTTTGCGATATAAATTAACGTTGTTATGCATATATAATATTAATTAAGAATTTCCATTAGCATTAAAGAGGATTTTGTGGGTCTGGATTTTAATACAAACCTTAACCAACATGCTTTGAAAATTAAGGATTCAAAATCGGTATAATGTTTTGCTACATATTCCATGTGTACCAATAAAATAATCAACATTACTTTCCTACTTAATGGTAACTGCCACGAATTAAGGAATGATTTTCATTTTGTAAAGATCTGAAAATTCCTTTAATAAGTTCCCATTGTTTGACCAGTTTTCAAGCAACGGAAAACTATTTTTTTGGATAATTAATAATTTATAGCCACTCCTCCTCACCCATCTTCATATCCGGCTAGTTTTGAATAAAGCGCAAGCCTTTAAACTACATTGTATAACGGTAACAGTAAATGGGATTAAGTAAGTATCAAAGGTTAAACGGATAAAAGTCACGCAAAATACATAACGAAATAACATAATAAATTGTATTATCCAACTCTAATAAAATTACGATCTTTGGCTTTCCTATCCTAGGAAATATTATACTCTTCATCCCAATACCGACTCGACATTACATTAGAAAATGTTTAATATTTATGCATTATATATTATTTTCATTAGTAATATTGATAATATTTTTGGATTAGTTTTTTTATCATCGTAAATGTTTGTAGCGTTTGGATTTTCTCTATAATTATTTTTATTTGTTCTAAATAAGGTTTTACACAAGGTTGTGTCTGCGCACTCTTAAAATGTAATGACTCCGTTCTAAGAATAAAGTGTCCAAACGGTACATATATATTTATTTTAGAAAAAGAAACAGTTGCAACGTCTCACTCGATAGATTGTTTTTATTTTGGAACACGAAAAAATATCAACTTAGCAAACTTAATAATAATTATGAAATTAGCATTAGAATCTCATCGTCATTAATTGAAAGCTATATAGAATTTGATTATATTATGGATGACTTCCTTATTGTCTTGTGAATTAGCTTGATTGGAATAATCAAATTAATATTGTTATTCGAATGGTGAGAACCTTTGAGAGAATTGAAAAACATCATTAAATCAAGATTATGATTATGCGAATAAAATGTGATAATTTTCTATTAACCCACGGTCTATGAAGATTCAGTTCACCATAAATTAATGAAAATGAGTTAAATAAGTACTGCGTAATGTTAATAGAAATATATTTGAGAATTAAACGTACTTTTCTAAATTTGAGCGAAGATATAAATTGTGAAACCCATCCGTAAGTTTTAATGTTAATTGTATGTAAATAAGTCGCTAGTAGGTTGAGTACAATAAGCAAATATTTGAACGGTTTTTGTAATTTGTCCGGTATTTTGTAACCACGGTTTACGGTGTACCCGCCATCTGAAGTGAGTCAAACATTAATTTGGGAATAATCATTCCGAATCCTCAAGTGAATCATAGTTTTTAGAATTTCTATGCCTCATAATTCCTCAACAAAATTATAATGACACTTTTCCCCAAATTGCTATCTTTAATTTTCAACGAATTTGCTACAAAGCAATCCAATTTTTATAAGTAAAGTATTATTAATTATGTTTTAAATTTGTACAGTAGGTACTCGAAAAGTTGCCCAACTAATCGTTTTCCGTTAATTATCTAATAAAATTAATCATTGTTACAACAATTTTTTCTGCACAGTTGGGCTCGTAGCCTGGTCGCACGTCGAAGTCTTCGTCATCAGCAATGTTTGATATGTCATCACCATAAACAGCTCTGTTCATGAACAACAAAACTATTCAAAAATGATAGTGAAAAGGGAGTTATCACTCATATGACTTGGCTCCTGACAAATGTTTATTTCCTTTTTTTTTAATTTTACAACTTGCAATAAATTTCTGATGCCTATGTACTAACAGGCACAAGGCATATTTATATATATATATATATATATATATATATATATATATATATATATATATATATATTTTTTTTTTTTTTTTTCACGTATTGATTCACGGATGGAAAAATGTGATGACACTATATTCCGGGATATCATCCGTTCGCTTGTTGAACTCCGACTGGAATCCTGCAGACGTTTCGCCAAAATCTCACTTGGCATCTTCAATGCTCACGCTCCGAAAACACTTCGAACACTTTTCGGAGCGCGAGCAGCGTCTGCTATATATATATATATATATATATATATATATATATATATATATATATATATATATATATATATATATATATATATATATATATATATATATATATATATATATATATATATATATATATATATATATTCATTTTTCATTATTTATAATTTATCATTATTACTACAATAATTTTGATTGCAAAGTTGGGTTCGTAGCCTACCACAGGTCGAAGTCTTTTCCAATTCATAATCAGCATTAAAATGATAAATATGATAATATGATAACTAGCCTTGCAGGAGAATAGAATAACAATCTGATAATATTTTTTTAAAATAACTTGCATTTGTTATACTACAGCACAACCGTCAAAATTCGAAAGAATTTTTTATCCCTACTCACAATAAAAATTGGCACAATTTATTTTTACCAATTCAATTTCCTATAGATAGCAGGTTTTCGTATCAAGCGAGATTATGAAACTTTATGGTATACTAGCTTCACACTTTAGACTGCCAATATAGAAAAAATATTTCTGCAATCAATATGTTTGTGCAAAAAAATTTTATTCTTAACTTCGAATCAAACTGTTTTATAGATGATTTACCACCACGGTTAGAAAAGAACGTTAAAACGTTATGATGTATTTTAAATTGGTATTTACTATTTGAAATTAAAGATTGACCAAACACTCTACTCTGCACTTTTTAATTAGGATTCATGTTAAAAAACTTTTTTTTTTGAAAATTTTGTAGGAAAGTTATCCAAGTAAAAATATCTCTATTTAAACCAAAATTCTAAAGAAATTTTTATTCCTGCTAGTGACAAAAATAAATTTCTATGATAAGCAAATATATCATGAACAGATACTTCAAACACCTTGCCACGTGGTTTTTCGAATGCTCTTTTAAACTTGATTAGATAGAAGGTGGTGCAAGATGGTTTGGTACTCGTATTGAGAATTCAGTTCCTTTTAATATATCCATAACATATTTTTTGTAACTCCGATTACAACTAAAAGCATCTGCTTGAAAATTTATTTTTTCATTTCATTTTGAATGCGGTTGGCTATTTGCCTCAACTATTATCAATCCAGGTGAACAAATGTTATCGCCCCTAAAAATAATCTTGTATATATAATTTTAATCAAGATGAAATAGTGACAAATTGAGAGTTTGATAAATTAATTAATTTAATTTAAACCGAGGTGTCTAGGTCAAATAAATATTGAAATATTGTACCTTATGCATATGATTTTAAATTAAAGTAATGTAACATTCTAATATATTATAATTTATCGTAAACAGCATATTTACGTTACCTCTTGAGTCGCGCACCCCAACACCACCACCATCATCACCACGAAAACCTCGCGTCTAACTTCGTAATACATCGCGAAGGGCTGATGCGCCGGTGCACTCTCGCGTCTATCTAGATACCGTCGGTCGACTGACTCTTTCGAAGACGATCCGTTCGAGACGGCAGCAAAAAAGACTGTGGTACTGACAGATAGGTCAGGAGGTCGCGAAGCTGTTCTACTTGCCGAAACATGAGTGCACGCCGTGTAGGAGCCGAAGGTGCTCCGAAGATGGAAAGGACTCTTCTGACACGGGCGGGAACCTTGACTGGCGCTTACGAATCTGGTTTATATTTTGATTCGGTATATACCGAGTGGTACCGTAACGAGCCGGCATTTCTACTATTGGCAGTCATTCGCATATTGGTGTTCAGTATCCCTCATATTATTATTAATTTTGTTCGGGCTTGCTACAGTGATAAATTGTAAGATGAATTTTAGACAGTATAATTCGACATTCAACTAAATCATCCATCCCAGGCAAAACTGTTCATTTATTGATTTATTTATTAATAATTCCAATTAAAAGCACTAATTAATAAAGAAAATATTAAAGGTATAAATTATAAATACAAAAGTCAATATATTTTCAAATAATAACCATAAAAGGCCATAATTAGAGCACTTATTATTGGGCATTAATATTTTTAATACAAATAAAGAGTAAATGTGTGGTTAAAATTTGGCGCCACCGCTGTTTTAAACATTCTAAATAATAAATTTTGCTCTAGTTCAAAACCAAACCTTGTTTTCGAAATCCATTTGTTAATGAATTAAACGCCCCTATTCACTTATTCGTAGGCTTAGCAATAGCCGATTGACTAAATTGATCCGTAATTGGAAAATTATAAAACGGTTTCGTGACGATTTTCCGCTCAATTTGGTATTGCCAACCCGCAATTGTGGCCAACTATGCGAGTTATGGTAATACTCCTAACAAAAAGTGCAACGAAATGTTTTCGAATAAAAGAATCAATTTACAATGCCATTGATTTTTTGCGCGGCAAGGAGCAATACCGAATCAATCAATCATTTAAACATTTTAATTTTACCGCTGGGACGTCAGCAACAGCTCAACCAGAGGTATTCAAACAATATTATAATAACCATCTATTGAAATTGTAAAAAAATCACACGAAGTGGCGGTGGCTTTGGGAATGTTTTGTATTTCAAAAAATTTCAGCTGCGTCTATTAAACCGAATTAATTCAAATTTGTTATAAGGCAATATACAAAATTTCCATCAAATTTTGTCTTAAGCATGCGAAAACTTTTCACCGAGCCTTGACGATTGCTCTAAGCATCCGGAGATGGTAGTTTCTTCAAACTTAAAATAATTTGCAAGAACAGTAAACACTCGTAAACATACATACCAGGTGCAGTCAAAATGGATTTTTGTCTATATCTAGCTCCACCCAAGTTAGTATTTCTCATACCTAATAATAGCATAGGTATTCTTCGAATACTAAGTAATAGTTTGATTAAATTGATTAAAACACTACGAAGAACTTCAAGCAGATTTTTATATTCCATTTTCTAAAATGTTTAAAGGCAAGACTAATTTCCATTATACATTACAATTATTTACCAATTACCATTTTATGTTAAACCGATGATTGTATTGAAAATGAGGAAAAAAACAGAGTCAACAGTTTAATATTTTTAAAGGTCTAATGGTCCTGAGGGCTCTCTCTTGACTTTTGATGATACCTGCTACCGTGGTAGAGGACCCCAGAAGCAAATCGCGTACCTTAAGACCATTTAGTATGATGCGTATTAATGAGTTGTTAATAATTGTACTTAAATTAAGTAAAAGAAAACCTTATAAGTTTATTTTATGCAACCTGAATTCACTTTCCAAGAAAGAAAATATATTACCTGTGTTCCAACATATTTTTCTGTAAACTTGAGTTAGTCGGTATTCTTACTTTTTTTACTGGTCCTGCTTTGGATTTGGTAATAATATTAATGATGATAAATATTTGGTTAAATCGGAAAGTTTTAACAAAATTTAGTTTGATGTGTTTTTTATTTTTATTTAGAGAACTTCAAAAAAATCTATCAATTATAATAAAAAAATATATATTATAAGGGATAGTCTAATATTCTTTTTGGAGTATCGTTTTCGCTAGATTTCCCGACGAATACACTTTCAAAGTTTTGTCTTCTTATTTCACTATCGCGTGTGTTTTATCGCAAATGTCTATCAATAATGTATAAACTTAACGGAACAATCGATTACGTTGTGAAAGAAAAAGTGCGTTTACATCAAAACTTTCGGTTTCGTTATGTAAAAATGTTTTATATAATAGTATTGTTATTTCTTTGTTATGAATATCTTTAACCTTTGACACCCGACCCTATTGCTGGCTTCTTGACGTACTCTACACAAAGCCGTGGAACGTCGTGCGTGTTTTTTAGGATTTCGTAAGAGGTTGCGGCACTAATATTTTGCACCATTTTTTGATGTGACGTTGCTACTGTGAAACACAAATGCGCTTAACATTTATAATTTTAAGAAAAAGAGGAGGCATATGTATTAGATCTCTTAAATTTTTAGGCAACTTACTTTTAAATGAAATTTTTGGAAAAAAATTCGTGTTTATCAAAGTTTTCATAATTTCATATTTTTATAAAATTTAGCATAGATTCTCTAAGAACAATTGGATTTTAATGTACAAAAGTTTTATTTTTAACTAGCATCCATATGGATATTGACTAGATAACACTATTTAGTATCCTTTGTAATTTTGATTGTAAAAATTAATAAATTATGCAGAGCACTTGAGAGACTCTCTTAATCAATTTTGTGTATTCCTTCGACAGCGCCATTATTTACTTTGACAATCATCTTTCTTACAACTTCTCACAAGTAAAGGGATCGGTTTCATATTATCTACCAAACTAGACTTTGTAACAGCATATACTCGTTTTTCCTAGTTGTTTCCAAAATGAAAATCTATAAAAATTGTAATATTTCAGAGAGTATTAAAATTTAAAGTAGAAACTTGTTCTTGAATTTAACCCGTATATTACAAGCACGTAGAAATAATATATACATATTATGCAACAAATGAGATAAACGGCATTAGACACACGAGTTTATTTGACACGAGCAGAGCGAATGTTTAATAAACTATTTAATAATAAACAATAATAAGACATCGCCAACTTAATGCGGTTCAAGTGCAACAACAGTTCCATGAAGTACCGAAGAGTGGCTATTAGTCAGTGGACAGTGAGAAGACTGAAAAAAAATAGCCTGACCCCAAAAACAACTGCATTTGGTCTAAAACTTACTCCAGCTCATCGACAAGCACGCCTACGCTTTGCACTGGATCATCTGAATTGGAAACTGGACCAATGGAGTTCTGACCAGAATATGTCTTTTTGTTAGTGACCGATGAAAAAAAGTGTACCGAAGATCAGGAGAGCGATTTGCAGAATGCTGCAATGAAGAGCGGAGCTCTTATAGAGGTGGTTCCTGCATGATGTGGGGTGCAATTTCTATGGACGCACGAACCAACCCTGTTTTCCTCCGTGGGGACGGCCGTAGACGAGGGACAGGTGCCATGTACATCGAGGCTATTTTATCATTGAAGAATATTTAGTTTTTATGCATGACAATTCTAGGCCGCACGCCGCAAAGTTACATTACAGAAGTTGGTTTTCAAGTTATGGAGTTATGGATAAGCTAAAACGGAAAATTCGAGCTAGACTTCATACCACCTCGGTCCCAGAGTTTAGTGTTGCACTAGAGGAAGAGTGGCTTAACATTCCACAAAAATGTTAAGCCAACTTGATTAGATCCTTACGTAATCGAGTACGGGATGTTATTAGGGCAAGAGAGGGTCATACCCATTATTAAAAAATAAGTGCTGATGTGGTAATTGTTAATAACCCTATTTGTTTTTAGTAATAAAAAAAATATATTTTGACTCGTGCTAACCTGACGTGATAAAGTGACGCTTCCTGCAAGCTAGATGGGTGTGTAATTAGGCATTTTACAGACGGGAGTAGAAAAATATATTTACTATCAGAATTTATAAAAACATTGATATTCATTCAGTAATTATTTTTTGAAAACTGATATCGGTTTCTCGTTTTCAATATCAATACTTTTTTCGTATCGTTCACAACACACATCATGTGGTCCCTCATTATCAGATGTGCGCGGCACATTCGCGAAGGTTAACGCAAACACACACACACAGCGGATGATTTGCGGATGCCTCATTTTCTATAGAAATCCCAACGAAACAAAAACATCGTAAAAATGTATCCTTGACTCCACCTAATTAGCGCTATGTGCCAGTGTTTGTTTAACACTTACTCTTTTGTATAATTCGTTTAATTGTTGCTTCCCGTCCGTTTTCGAAAGGTCGCACGTAAAAAATCGCCACGATCTACAAATTAGCAGATGTGCACCTTACATGTTTTTTCAAACAATCAACTGTAGTTAAAATGTAGGCTAGGTATTTGGTAAGATTGCCATTTAAATGACTAATGAGCGTAACTTTCATTGACTAATTTTCCACAGAGATTTTGTCCAAACTGTTGTTATTATTTCGACACTGCAGTTACAATAAGAATTCAATTCATTATTAGAGAGTGTGGATTTGGAATTTGTGAAAAAATATTTGTTTGTACCGAACTACTTAAGTATTATGGTTTTTATTTTATCAAACATGGTGCAATATTTATTTTTTGTATATATTCGTGTAAAGATCAAAATAATCATGTCTTATAATTTGACTGAAAACTTCTCCAGCTAGTTGATATAAAGATTCAGGCATAATCATTATTTGAAAATAAGGACTTTTAAAAACACCATTTAGTGAGCTTTCAAATGGCAACCGGTTTATATTTTTATATTTTCGAATTAATTTATCGACAAAAAAAGTGCATATACCGTAGATATTCAATAGGCTATAAGTCTGGTGATCTTGTGACCCATTTTTCTAGTAACTACCCCCAACTCATGTCGAATTGCGCTGGTTTTGCTCAAACGGTCTCTAGTGTTAAGACCGATCCTTCGCCATCGCATCTTAAAGTCTCAGTGCTGGTCAGATTATTCTACCTAACTTCCCATCACTGTTCCAATTCCTCTAAAGCAATTTATTAAAAGGAAAAAGAATTAATAAAACCTGTTCAATTTTATGTGAAATAAAAAAATCATCTGGTTATTGGTAAACAAGACCGGGACAAATATGTTTACTTTACAACATATACTGGCT